TGGGGTCCCCTCACACGTCTGTGAATTGTCCCTCTGGGGTTCTGGAGGACATTGGGGTATGCATGTCCCAGTTTCCCTTGCTGGCCCCGCAGAGGGGGCAGATGCCACTGGTGGAAGCCCAAACCTGCAGGGAAGGGGGAGAGGGGTGGGACAGAGCCCGGGCCAGCTGTGACAGAGGGACAGCACTGGAGGAGCTGAAGGGTCGCTGTGGCTGCTGCCGGCCCGTGTCTGTGAGCTGGGTCCTGGCTGAGCCCTGCTGGAGGGTCTGCATTGCCCAGCTGGCCCTGATTGCTGGCCCAGGGGGTGTTGGCCGAGCCCCCCAGAGCCAGGCTGGCCCAGGCCAGGGCACAGCCGGGCTGGGGCTCAGGGTGATGAGGCCGGGCACAGCCGTGTCCCAAAGGATGCTCAGGATTCTTTGTAAGCAACGTGAGGAATTAGGGACAAACCTGGGTTGACTGGGGCTGTGAGCTGAGCTGCAGCAGCACCGAGTCTGTCATGTAATGATGGGCCATAGCTGTTCCTCCCATCCCCTCTCATCGGTCCAGGGCACGTTTCCACACCAATCTCCCTGATGTTGAGGTGTATAATTGTATTGCAACATTATCTCTCTGATGAAGCTTGTCAGCGTGAATTCCTAATTACTTGTTTTTTTGCCACCGCTCCCTTTCCTGACGCCCCAGGCCCTTTGAGAGATGTATAAAAGGTCCAGAAGTTCCACAGAGCTCTATCCACCTTCCACCACTTGACTCTCTTATCACCTTGGTAAGTGCAAGCCTTCTCTCCTCTTTCCTTCTTCATCCATGGCTTTCTCATGGGATCTCTGTCTGAGGCGTTTTGGAGGAACCTTTGGCTGTGGGCTGCTCTTGCTCTCCTAGAGCAGATTGGGATGGTTGGGGCTCTACCAGGAGACCAAGGGCTTGGGAAGCTTGAGGACTTTGCTTCTTCGGATGTCAAAGTCTTCTTAATTCCCATGGGAGAGCAAGACTCAGGGATGGCGAGGGCAGCAAGGGATGTGAGGAGGCATTTTGATGGAATGGGGCACAGTTCAGAACTTGCAATGTTGACTCCTGGTTTTCCTTCACTCTACCTTTTCCCCCTGCCCAGTGTCCTGGGGGTCTGCTGGGCTGTTGCAGAGCCCCTGGGCAGTGCCCTGGAGCCCGGGAAAGGTTGGCTGTCTGTGTCCCAGCTGGGGATGTCCAACCCTGCTGGCTCTGGGGAGCTCATTCCCCCCAGCTCCCCGTGCTCTCCCAGCTGAGGAATTGCTGAGCAACCCCAAATCCCTGGCTGATGATGGGAAAGGGCTACAAGGTCCTTGCAGAAACTCTTCCAAATCCTCATCTGAAGCAGCAAAGCTGACATCACTTCTGGGACCGGGCTGGGATGGGTCGGACACATGGGAAGGTCTAAGGAGGCTCCAAGGAGCCGTGGTGGAACCCACAGGAGAGCAGGAGCAGGAGGCGGTGCGGGGTGTTGGAATGTTCCAGGGGATGAGGAAGGAGGGTCAGCGCTGCTGGCGCTGTTCTCCCTCTCCCTGCGGAGCCTGGGCCACCCGAGAACCCCGAGCGGGTCCCTTGGGGGGCTCCACTCGCCCCCAATCCCCACGGGTCTGGGGCTGCAGGGGCCCTCGGGGGGTGTCCAAGGGCAGGGGGCTGGCGATGGACCCGGGGCTCCCGAGGGGCTGCAGAGAGGAGCCCGGAGCGGGCAGGGCCGGGCAGGGCCAGGCACAGGAGCCGTGGCAGGGGCTGGGCAGGGTCCGGCTCGGGGGCACTCTGCTGCGGGGCGGGGGTGGCCGAGAACGGGCAGGAGGAGCCCGGGCAGCTGCCGGGGCTCCTCGCCCGCCGTGTCCGAGCGGGGCTGCCCGGAACCCCCCGGCAGGCGGGCCGGGCCGGGCAGCGGGAGCGGAGCAAAGAGCAGGCGAGAGCCGGTGAGGATTGCAGTGCGAGGCAGCTTTTATTGGCGTGCGGGGGCAGGGACAAGGCAGCGGAGCGGGGCCCGGGCCGAGCGCTCCCCGCGGGTCCCGGCCGCGGGCAGAGCAGGAGCCGAGGCGGGGCCGTGCCGGGAGCGGGCAGCGATCGCTGCGGGGCTCCGAGCGCGGCGGGGAGGCGGAGCGGGGCCGGAGGATGTCCGTCTGTCTGTCTGTCTGTTTGTCTGTCGGTGCGTCCTTCCTTCAGGCCTTGGCGTGCGGGGATGGGCAGCGGGGGCGTTCCTGGAGCTCTCCTGGATCAGGGATGGCGCTCGGGCTGGGGCTTAGCAGGGCCCGCAGCCTCTGGGGGCGCCGCAGCTGCCCCCAAAACCTCCGAATCCTCTACAAGCGCCAAAGCCGCCAGAGCCCCCAGAGCCCCCACGGCGTCCGGCGGAGCCGCCAAAGCCGCCTCCAACGTAGGGAGCTCCGGCCGAGCCCACGGCGCTCTGCTGCGGGAAGGAGCTGAGGATGGGCCCGGGGAAGGTGACCACCGAGGCCGGGGGCTGGATGACCACCGTGGAGTCGGGGCACTGCCGCACGCAGGGCTCGTTGCAGGTGTCAGCCAGAGGGGCCGGGGTGGCCACCCCGCAGCTGGGCACACACAGGTTGGAGCAGGACATCCTTGAGACTGCAAAGGCTTCTGGAAAAACTGCGGGGAAAAAGAGGCAAAGGTGTGAGAGAGGAGCTGTGCTGAGAGAGATCCCCAAAAGGCTTCGCAGAGCTGCACTTACCCAGGTGATGAGAGGAGTCAAGTGCAGGAGAGTGGATGGAGCTGTGGAAGGAGCTCAGCCCTTTTATACAGCCCAGAGTGCCGGGGGCATCGTCCGGGGCTGCGGGCAGACCCCCCTTCCCCAATAATTACCAATTCACGCTGCCAAGCTTCATAAAGTGAAGGGACGCAGAAAAATTCTGTCATTCCCCCCATTGTGGACATTGGTGTGGAAATGAGTGGACAAAAGAGAGGCGCTTGCAGGGCCAGCCGTGGCCCATCATTACATGACAGACTTGGTGCTGCTGGAGCTGCACTCACAGCTGAAATAAACACAGGTTTCTTCCCAATAAACCTCATTTTGCTTACAAAGAATCCTGAGTGTCTTTTGTTTGACCAGCCATGCCCCTGAGCCAGCCATGCCCAGCTGGGCCTGGCCTGGGCCAGCCTGGCTCTGGGGGGCTCAGACAACACCCCCTGGGCCAGCTCTCGAGGCCAGCTGGGCAATGCAGAGAAGGGCTCGGCCAGGACCTTGTCTGGAGGGTCTGAGTGGTTCTTGATCCTCTCTCTGCTCTCCTGCTCCTCTCTCTTGGTCTCCCCTTTCTCGTTTATCCCACTCATGTGGCACCCACATCCGTGCCAGGATGGATCGTTGGTGAAGCTTCATCTCACATGGGATCTCCCTCTCTGCTTTTTGCACCACCATCAGGTGAATCCAGGACTTTACAAATCCTCCAGTGGTGTGGAAGGGGCTAACAGCGGGCCTGTTAGCTAAAGGAGCAAGAAGAAGCTGAGAAGAAAGAAGAAGCTGATAAGGAGCTCTTTCCAAGGCTGTAACCAAAGAGATCAAGAGAATTGAGGGACTGCAGAAAGATAAGAACTTCACAGCTGCACAAAGTATATTTAGAAAGTTAGTTAAGTCACTGTAACTTTTCACCAATGGTGTTATGTTGATTTATTGTATCCAATACTCAAGGTAGAAGAAGCATAAACAATTAAAAAGTGTATAAAAGGTCAGCCATGTTCGATAATAAAGCGATGCCATCAGAGACTGCTTGTGGTCTCTGCTTTGTGTTGTGACCGCCTCGACAACGACACAGTGGCACAAAAATCACTTAGGGATTCTCCCTCCCAAGGCCCTCCGTGCCCAGCTCTGTGGCATGGGCGTCCTCGGGCAGGACATGGGGGCTGCTGCCCCTCTGTGCTCCCCCAGCCTGCCCCACTCCAGGACTCTGGTCCTGTGCCCTCCTCCCCTGCCACGTCTGGCGTTTGGGATGTGCCCTGAGTGGGTGGGATGGCTTCTCCCTCCCGGCGTCCCTATTTAGCAGCCCGTAAAAAGGATTAATGGCAGATGTGCCGGCTGTGCCAAGGATTTCAAAGCGCTCCTGAGTGATGCCCAAAACTCCCGTGCATAAGCAAAGCAGGGGATTAGGGACATGTCATGTTTTATTGGGGTTCTGAGCTCGGCTTCGGCAACAGATGATCTTTCACTCAGCAATTGGTCACGGTCTGCCCCTCCAGGGCCTGGTGGCTCTCCAGGGCACCTTTACCTGTTCCTAGCCCCAATTAGTATGGATGTAATTAGCCCACGTTTCAGTTTGTGTCATGAGTTTTGTCCGCTTGATTCCATGATTAGCTGGGGCTCTGTCACCGCTTCTGGACAATGCCCCAGGCACTCTGGGGTGTATAAAAGGTCCGAGGGCTCCACAGGGCTCCATCCAGCTCTTCCCATTCAACTCTGCTCATTGATCGCTGTGGTGAGTCCGAGCCTTCCCTCCGTCCTCCCTCCCTCCTCTGCACCTTCCCCGGGGAGTCTCTGGCTGTGGAATTCCCAAGGAATCTCTGTCCCTGTGGAATCCCCAGGGATCTCTGTCCCCGTGGAATCCCCAGGGATCTCTGTCCTGTGGAATTCCCAAGGGATCTCTGTCCCTATGGAATCCTCAAAGGATCTCTGTCCCTATGGAATCCCCAAGGAATCTCTGTCCCTGTGGAATCCCCAGGGATCTCTGTCCCCGTGGAATCCCCGAGGGATCTCTGTCCCTATGGAATCCCTGAGGGATTTCTGAACCCCAGCTCTGCCAGCAGAGGTGCTCCATCCCTCTGATCCCATCCTGGAACCTCCTCTGGGCTCTCTCCTCTCCCTGTTGGTGTTTTCCAAACTCTCCTGGAGCTCTGGGAGCCTTGGGAATGTGCCCATTCCACAGGGAGCCTGGGCCGTGCCCAGCACCCTCTGGGGGAAGAATTTCCCTGATATCCCACCCAAACCTCCCCCCTTTTTTTTTTCTCCCCCTCCCCCTTTTTATGTGATAAAGGAAAACAGAAAATGTATTCCGGTAGAGAAAATTTATTTGGAAAGAGAAGCTTTCCTACAATTGTGGAACAAAACTGTACAGGAAACAAAGAGCATCGTTCCGGGGGTTCAGCGAGGCTCTGGCAAATCACCACCATCCAAGTGATGCCGCCTGTAAAAACGGGGAATTTCCCTTTTTGGCAGCGTTGCCGCGTGCAATTCCGAGCATTTCAAGTCACCTCTCCAAGCTCAGCGCCAGTAAAAAAGCACTTTGGGGATAAGCCAAAGCACGGCGGAAGCAGGCGACTGCGCTGCAAAGCTGCGAGAGAACAGCTCTAAACTAAGGGGAAAAACCGAGGAATTGCAACACGAGCCCGCCTGTGCCGGGGCTGAGCTCCTGGGAGGAGCCGGAGCAGCCCCGGGGCCGCCGCCGCAGCTGCACAGCCAAGGACAGCCGGGATTCCAGCCGGGATTCCACCCGGGATTTCCCTCGCTGCCCGTTCCCCGCGCTCAGCACGTCCAGCGCTTCCCGGAGCGGTAGGAATTGCAGGGATGAGTCCATTGCGAGGAGTAGCTGTAGGAATATTTGGGGGCGCAGCGCGGCTCGGGACGGGCCAGCACCGGCGCTGCCACTTTGTCGCCAGCCGTGACCTCGGCGGGCAAGGCGGGCGCGGCCGGGGGCTCGCCCAGGGCCACCTCCGAGGGCTCCGAGGCTCCCACGACGGTTTGCTGAGGGTACGTGGTGAGGATGGGCCCCGGGAAGGTGACCACCACGGGCGGGGGGTAAATGATCACCCGCGAGTCGCCGCAGGTCACCACGCAGGGCTCGTTGGTGCTGCTGGCCAGCGGTTGGGGACACTTGGGCTCGCAGGGGGTGGCACAGGACAGCTGGGTGGAAGCCATCGCCCGGGAGAGCCTGCGGGGCTAAAAAAACCAAACAAAGAAAGGTCCAAAAGCGAAGCGACAACTCCCGGCGGCTCTTGGATATTGGCATTTGGCTCTAATAGATGGTCAGAGGAAATTGGGATAGAGACAGAACTGGAGTTCTTGCTTATGGACATTTAGGTCTAAAATATCGCCAGAGGTAATTGGGATAGAGACAAAATTTGAGCGCTGGTTTATCGACATTTGGCTCTAAGAAATCGTCAGAGAAAATTGGGATAGAGACAAAACTCGAGCTCTTGTTTATGGACATTTGGCTCTAAGAGATGGTCAGAGGAAATTTGGATAGAGACAAAATTTGAGCGCTGCTTTATTGAACCTTGGCTCTAAGAAATCGTCAGAGAAAATTGGGATAGAGACAGAACTGGAGCTCTGGTTTATTGACATTTGGCTCTAAGGGTTTTTATAGACCAATCAAAATAAAGACACGAGCCGAGCGCTGGTTTACTTGGCTCTAAGTGGTTTTTAGAGATAATTGAGATATTTTTAGAGATAATTGAGATATCTTTAAAAGGATGATGTGCTCATAAACTCGGGAAAAGAGAAGAGTTAAGCCCTCGGCTATTGACACTCTAAGAGATAATTCGGGCAAGAACGAGACTTGATCGCTTGTTTGTTGACATTTGGCCCTAAATGGTTTTTAGAGATAATTCAGATAAAGACAAGAATTGCTCTCCTGGCTATTGACATTTCGTTTTAAGGTCTTGTTAGGGATAATTGAGATAAAACTAAGAATTGCTCTCTTGGTTATCAACATTTGGCTTTAAGGGATCCTCGGAGGTAATTTGTATGAGGTTTTATCTCCCACCTTTAACTTCCCCGCCCCAATTTGTTCTGAATTCCTGTTAAATTTCCCCCATTTTCTCCTCCTCCCCCGAGAGCAGAACTCCTCCTCTTTCCTCCCGTGCCACCTCCAAGCCCCAGCCCTTTGGAGGAATTCCCGAGGACGCGCTGGAACTCGTTCCCACAGCGCCTCTGTTCCTCCCACGCGGGGATAAAAAAATCTGGATTTTCCACGTATTTCAGCGTCCTCTGTTCCTCCCACGCGGGGAAAAAAAAAAAATCCGGATTTTCCACGTATTTCAGCGTGGAATAATCAGCTTAGCACCCTGCTTAATTTTTGTATTATTTTCCTTGCAGATTCCTGTTGTTTCAGGTAGGAAAATATTCTGGTAAAACAAAGGGAAAAAGGCAAAAGGCTGAGAATAAAAGGGAGTATTAAGTGCTCGTTTAATAAGTGAAACATATAATTAAAATATTTATAAAATATAATATATATGTTAGTGATATAATCAAGCCAAATAAGAAAATTACATTTTCACCTAGGGGTGAAATTAATTCAATAATGTTTATTTCTTCAGGTTAAATCCTCACATAAAAGCCTGGTGTAGCATCAGAATTTTTTTAAGCTTGTAAATGAAATTTATCCTTTTGATAATTAAAAAAAAATTAAAACCCATGCAGGGCATTTCCCTCCAAATTCCCAAGTTGGAACGCAGCACTGACCTACAGAAATGCTGAATTTAATCTCTGTAAAAGCGCTTTAGAATTGTAAATCCGTTTTAAGCGTTAGAAATGAAAGTTATTGGCACAGTTACGTTAATAGTCCATAATAATCGTTCGCTGTGGCTGCAATTAAATTAAGGACGGGCTGATCCAAGCAGCAGAGCAACAGAGCTGCACCGAGCTCCCTTCCGAGCAGGATTTTCCACAGTTTTCCATGAATTCCACACCAAACCCACCCTGAACCCTCTCCCTGATCGCGCCACGCAACCAAACGCGAAGTTAAATCCATCCCCGAAACTTTCCCAAATATTTTTCCAGAATGAAGAGACTGAACCCCCTCATTCTCCCATAAATCCCAAAGCCCCGCTTTGACTTTCGCCCCCTTTGCCCAGCACGAAAAGCGCTCCTAAATCCCTCAGCACCGGACCATTCAGGCAAGGCTCAGCCCCGATTTTGAGGAGAAATCCTCTCAAAAGCAGAAGGAAACGGGAAGTTTTTAGAGCCAGGGAGTCCGAACTTACTCAGAGAGGCGGAGAGGAGGAGTCGGGAGAGGCAGTGAGGAGTTGCCAGGGTGGAGAGGGGTTTTATACCCTGTCCCGATGGCCGGGGGCGGCTGAGCCACCCTTTGCTAAAGCGTTTTAATGACTCGGGAGCCGAGCCCGGTGCAGGGATCGCTGCTGGAGCCGCAGGAATTGTTTTGCTCGCTGTTTATGATTATCTAAAGCCGCGTTGGGCAATAACCCCAAAAATGCAGATGGCAAGCAGCCAGGTCTTTTCATCTCGGAATTTCCTGCTTTTCTCCTCCTGGTTTCATTAAGAGGTGAAAATGCAGCGAGAATTAATGAGGTTTTTTTTAGCTTATCTTGGCTAAAAGCTGGAGTGCGCAGGGAACCTTGGAGTGATTTTCCTTATGGAAGCAAAACCTAACACAGGGAATTGTGGCCGTGCCTCGTTTACCAAATCAGGGATTCTTTCCCATAATATTGGTGGGATTTACAGATGTGCTCCTAAATCAGGGGAAGGATCTGGTGCAAAGCTGAAGAGAGAAGCTCGGGGTTATCTTTGGAATAAAAACGAAGCCGTTCATGAATTATGCCCATTGTGAAGTTTAAAATGAGGAGTTTGGTGGAACACTTTCCATAATTTATTCTTTGTGAGGTCACAGCAGCCCGGATTCTCTAGGATGTCATTACCGTGATTACCACGAAATTATTTCCCTGGATGACAAACTCGCAGAGGTTTTGAGATCCCCTTTGAAATATCATTTTCTGATGTCTCCGGAATATTCCGATAAGCTCCAAAGCCCGGCGGGATCTCTGGAGGTGCCTCATAAAATCAGAATAATTCCTGGGATGCCACGAGCCCGGGGATGGTTTTGCCTCGTCTCAAGGTGGGAATTTCCAGGCGCAAAGGTTCCCTCCGGTGGGAAGAGGGAGTGAAAAGGGAAAAGAAGGGATGCAGAGCACCGGGATTTTGGGAAGATCCTCCCAGGGGCTTTTTTTGTGAGCAGGGAGGAGTTGGGGCCGTGTGGGTCCTTTTGGAATCAGGTCCATGGCAGAGGAATCCTCTTTTATTTCCCCCCAGGATTTAATCCTAGCGAGGTTGAATGGACGTTGCCTATGAGGAGGAGCCCAAAATCCCGCCCCAAAATCGTCAATTTTCTTCTCCTCCCGAAATTTCCCATGTCTTTGTTATCACCCTTTGGAATTTCTTGCTCCAACACCTTCCCCCTTTCCAAAATTCCTGTTCCAGACCAGAAGTATTAAAGCACATGGAGAAAGTGTGGAATTCACCCCTCCGAAAGAATTCCAGCTCTCCTCAGCTTATCCCTGTGTCATTTGGGAATTCCCAGCCCAGGAACCGAATCCTTGCTGGCAAAATCAGTCCCTGGAGCAGAACGGGATCAACTCCTCCCAAAATCCCCCGAAATGCAGAAATCTCAGGTAGAATTTTCTCCTTTCCACCCCGTTTTGTGTTTTGTCCTGTGCCCGCAGTTGGTTCGTCAGGAATTGTGGGGCCAGGGATGGATCCAGACTGAAAGAAAGGACGTTTAGGGGGGATTTTGGGAAGGAATTGTTTCCTGTGAGGATGGGGAGGTCCCAGCACAGCTTTTCCACGGAATTTCTGGGAAAATCCATTCTCAAAACTTTCCCAAATATTTTTTTTTTCTGAATTAGAGACTGAAATCCCTCATTCTACCATAAATTCAAAAGTCTTGGGAAAGCCCCCGCTTTGATTTTTGCTCCCTTTACCCGGCACAGAAAGCAGACCAGAAAGAGCCCCTAAATCCCTCAGAACCTGAGTATTTAGGCAAGGTTCAGCCCCGATTTTAAGGAGAAATTCACCAAAACGAAGAAAAGTGTCCGAGGCCAGGCTGGAAGGAGCCGGGACCGCGGCAGGGGTGGAACTGGGCGAGTTTTAAGGCCCCTTCCAGCCCAAACCATCCCGTGAGTAACAAAGAGCAAACAAAGAGTAACAAAGAGCAAGCGCAGACTGCAAACCCCACAACACAGAGCCTTAATATGCATTAATCCTAAATTGTCGTAGAAAATTACATCCTTGCGCAGGGCAGGGGCAGCTTTAATGCCGGTTAATTCGGTTTTTGTGCCCGAACCAGTTCGGCGGGGCTGCAGAGCCGCGGGGTTCGCTGCCGCGGCTGAGTCAGGAGCGCTGCCTCACGGAAGAATCATCAAAGCGAGGATTTGGGGTGGGAGCGCTGCTGCCGGAGCTTCGCAGCCCTCACTTCAAAGCGTCTCTGCCCGCTGACATCAGCGGCAAAAAGCTCGCATCAGCAACAATTCCGCCCATCGGGCAGGAGGAGCTGCAATTAACAGCAATTAACGCCTCGCTCGCCGCGCGTTCTGCTCTATCAGGAGTTCTGATTTCGCAGGAAAAGTCGGAGAAGCCCAAAATCCAGGCGGTGACCCCCGGCCCGCTCAGGGCAGGGAGTGACCTCGGTTGGTCTTGGGTGGTTGCCCAAGAACCGGCGGCTCCCGGGTGGGGATAAATCCCCGAACCCGCCCGGGGAAGGGTTCTGGGGTTGGAGGAACCCGGAGCACACTCAGGGAAGAGTTCTGGGGTCGGTGGAACCCGGAGCACACTCAGGGAAGAGTTCTGGGGTCGGTGGAACCCGGAGCACGCCCGGGGAAGTGTTCTGGGATTGGAGGAACACGGAGCATGCTCAGAGGAGGGTTCTGGGCTTGGGGGAACCCGGAGCACGCTCAGGGGAGGGTTCTGGGGTTGGAGGAACCCAGAGAACACCCAGAGAAAGGTTCTGGGCTTGGCGGAACCCGGAGCACGCACAGGGGAGGGTTCTGGGCTTGGCGGAACCCGGAGCACGCACAGGGGAGGGTTCTGGGCTTGGATGAACATGGAGCATGCTCAGAGGAGGGTTCTGGGCTTGGATGAACCCGGAGCATGCTCAGGGAAGGGTTGTGGAGTTGGAGGAACCCGGAGCACCCCCAGGGTGACTCATCCAAGGGGGCGGCCCCAGAAAATCCTCCCCAGTCCCAACTTCCTGCGCTGGGAACTGTTGGAGCAAACTGCAGCTCCCAGATCGAAGTGCCTGTGGGGTGGGTGCGAGGCAGGCAGGATCTGCTCCAAAAAGATGTGCGGGGTCACGAGAGCTGAGCCTTTTCTGGAGGTTTTTTGGTTGATAAAAAGGATTTTTTCTTTTAGGATGGTCCAGCTTTGTCAGGACCACTGGGAACTTTTTAATCTTTCCGGGACTTCACAGAGCTGTAGAATATATCAAAATATATAAACCAAATATAAATATAATACAAATAAATAGAAAATAAATAAAAATATAATATAGTACAAATAAATGTAAATATTTTATAGATATACATTATTATATAGATGTTTTATAAATATATCTAAATGATACACTTATATTATACATAAATATATGCAAAATATGATACATAAATATTATAGATTTATATACTAATATATAATTACAAGAAAATTGAAATGCCGGGTTGGTCAGGGCGGCAAAGCAAATTCAAATATATAAATGACATAAAATCTGAGCACACCTGCATTCCCTGCTGGTTTTTTGTGGTTTTGTTTTTATTTTTTAATTAATCCTGGTTTCCGGTGTTTGGGTGGAGCCCCAGATCCGAGTTCCCTCGGTGACTTCGCATCTCCCTCTGCTTGCCCCAGGTGGCATTGCACAACCTGCTTCAGTTTCCCCACAAAACTCGGGATTTTCGTCTTTGGAATTATTCCCGCATGGCTTTCGAATTTTTCCCACTCGATTTTGGAATTTTTCCCGCTCGATTTTGGGATTATTCCCACTCGATTTTGGAATTTTTCCCACTCGATTTTGAGATTATTCCCACTCGGATTTTGGGTTTTTCCCGCTCGATTTGGGATTTTCCCCACCCGCGTCCCAGCAGGATGGATCCCTCCCCTCGGAAGGAAATCCCACATTTTCAGGAGGGTTAAGGGCAGGGAAAGCCGGAGTTATTTAATGGGAACAAACCACAGGAATGTAAACAAACGATGCTGGAGGAGGAGGAGCCGCCTATTTTTGGCAACATCTGGGTGTGGCAGCTGCTCGGAGTCACCTTGGTCCTCCCGGGGTGGCTCCAGGGTGACAAATTCTGGCCAACACCGGCCCCAGCTGCCACCAACCTGCCCCGGGGCTCAATTTAATGGGAATTCAATCCCTCGGGGGCTGGAGTATTAACGAAGCGTCATTAATGAAGTTTTGTGCTTAATTGAGTGATGTTATCACCGGATGTTTGAGCATCTGGAGGTTGATAAGGCGTGGTTTGATTAATCCCGGGTTTTTTGTTCGGATGTTTAGTGCAGGAAAAGCAAAAATAAGCGAAAAATTAGGATTTGGGATTTGTTTCTTCTAAATACCTGTAAATGTCCCTGCCAGGGAAGTTCCTTGAGTCAGTCCAAGACACTCAAAATTCCCAAATATCCCAAATTCCCACCCAGTGGTGCATCCCTGAGGGGAGGAGAAGTTTGGCTCCCACCTTGGAATGAATTCCTGCCAATTCCTTCACCCAGCCCCGGGGCGCGTAGGAGCTGATTCACTGAAAATCCAAAACAGCTCCTGCCCCCCAAAAAAATACAAAATAATGATCCCGAAAAATGCCGCTCCCAACCCCCAACCTCTTGTTGCTAAAGTGCAGCTGTTGCCCAACATCTGGATGTCCAAATCCAAATCTTCGTGTCGCAAGGCTTGTGTACAAAGATAATTAATGTTTGCAGAGCGTTCCCAACCCCTGTCATTACAGGAAGGATCATCCAGGAGCTGATTTGTGGAAAAAGCAGATTTGTACATTTCCTTTGTGGATTAGACGAAATTAAGTGGATTGGTGTGGACAGAAAACCCCCAGCGGGGGGGTGGGGGAGGATTTTGGAAACGTGATTCCCTGGAAATTCCAGCTCGTTAATTCCCAGCTTAATCACTCATTACTTCTAGCTATTACTAAATATTGGCTAATATATACATAATATTTAATATTTATATTTATTTCTTTCACATTTTAAGCTGGATGTCCCCACACTGCAAATCGTCCTTGCCTATAATATATAATATTTATATTTATTTCTTTCACACCTTGCAGATGGTCCTTGCCCACAATATATAATATTTATATTTATTTCTTTCACATTTTAAGCTGCACACCCCCATGTTGCAGATGGTTCCTGCCCATAATATATAATATTTATATTTA